TCTCATAGTGATTTTAATTTGCATTTCCCTGATGATTAGTGATGTTGATCATTATTACATATGTTTATTGGTCATTTGTCTATCTTCTTTTGAAAAGCTTCTGTTTATAGTTTGTGCCCATTTTTTTAATGGGTTTGTTTGTGTTTCTGCTGATTTGTTTGAGTTCTTTGTAGATCTGGTTATTACCCCTTTATTGGATCTATAACTTGTGACTATTTTCTTCCATTCTATAGATTGTCTGTTTGCTCTGTAGATTATTTCCATAGCTATGGAGAAATTGTTTAATTTAATCAAGTCTCATTTATTTATTTATTTTTGTTGTTGCTGTAATTGCTATTGGGATCTTAGTAATAAATTCTTTGCCTAGGCAAATATTTAAAAAAAAATTGCCTATATTTTCTTCTAGAATTCTTATACTTTCATGTCTTACATTTCAATCTTTTTTCTATCTTCAATTAACTTTTGTGAGTAGCGAGAGACATAGATCCTGTTTCTTTCTTGTCTATGTTGAGATCCAATTTTCCCGACATAATTTATTGAACATAGCTTATTTAACTTGGTGTACATTGTTGTCTGATTTTGCAAAGATCTATTAGCTATATGAGGGTAGTTTTCTATTTGGGGTCTTTATTCTGTTCTATTTGTCTATCTCTGTGTTTTTGTGCAAATACCATGCTGTTTTGGTTAGTATAGCCTTGTAGTATAGTTTGAAGTCTGGTAGTGTGATGCCTCAATATATATTTTTTTATTTTGTTTAAGATTGCCAAAATATTTGGGCTCTTTTCAGGATCCAAATGATCCACAAAAATTTTTTTTTTAATAAAGTATTTCACTATGTCATGCTCGGTAGAAGTACCATGATGTCCCAGGTCACAGCAACCTCAAACTGTTGGAATCAAACAATTGTCTTGCCTCAGCCTATCACGTATCTGGGACTACAGGCACCAACCACAATGCCCAGCTATTATTTGTCATTGTTGTTAACAGGTCTGGGCTGGGTTTGAACCTGTCAGCCCCGGTGTATGTGACCAGCGCCCTACCCACTGAGCTACGGGCACTGAGCCAGCACAGAATATTTTTTTCTAAATCTTTGAAATATGATGTTAGTGTTTTTGTTGAGATTGCATTGAATCTGTAATCATTTGGGGTAGGATAGACATTTTAATAATGTTGCTTCTACTGATATGTAATCAAGATATATTTCTCCATTTGTTTGTGTCATCTGTGATTGTGATTGCTTTCCTTAGTGTTTCATAGGTCTCTTTGTAGAGACCTTTTACCTTGTATAAGTATATTCATAAGTTTTTTTTTTTCTTGGTAGCTATTATGAACTTTATTGAATCTATGATTTGACTCAGTTTGAACACTATTGGTGTATTGGAATGCTACTGATTTATTTACGTTGTTTTTAACCTGACACTTCACTGAATTTATTTATCAACTTCAGAATTCTGTTGGTGGAATCTTTGAGGTTTTCCAGGTATAAGATCACATCATTAGCAAAAAACAGTCATTTGACCTGATTTGAATACCTTTGATTCTTTCTCATAATGCTTTCTTTTTATGTTTTCTTTCTTTTTTATTATTATATGATAGCTGTATACATTAATGCAAACATGGGGTACAGTGCAGTGTTTTCATATACATTTTGAAATACTTTCATCAAGCTGCTTCACATAAATTTCCTGTCATTTGCATAGTCATTGTGTCAAAACATTTCTATTCTAGTTCTAGAAAAGTTCACTTGTACCCTTGTTAGACAGAAATATAGGTGATCTTTCCAGTCACCCTCCCACCACCCAGCCGCTCTTCTCCCCTCCCCTTCCCCACCCCCTTCCCATATTCTTGG